GTCTTGAGTGTCAACAGGCTGTCAGGTAGAAGGGAAAGAACAACAATGTAGCCTTCATCTTCTCCTGAGACCAAATTCTCAGTGTCTCATGAAAATCCTGTCTTTGGGATACAGGTCCTCTTGTGACAAAGTAAAGGAGGTTCATCAGATAGAAAAGCAGGAAAATGGTGGTGTCTCTTGTTTCTGGGCACCAACTTCACCATCCCAACTTTACGGAACCTGGAAGCAACTTTGACCTCAATAATATCTCTGTTTTCCTGTGCACTTCAGATCTAATTCCTCTGAAGGCTTATCTGTCTGTCTATTCCTGACTCGAATATTGCAGTTCCCTTTTCTCTTCTCTTAACAATGTAGGCATGCCAGAGGAGAACACAGTTTAAGACATCCCTGCAGTAAATAAGCTTCATCCCTTATTCTGCAGCTTGCAACATTAAATCTTCAGAAAGGAATGATAAGGAGTTGGTATTCTTCTTTTCTTTCTTTCTTCTGAATTCCCGGTTTGATCTAGAGCCCTGCCTTCTTGCTCACTTTTAAACACCTTTGCTTCTGGAAATTATCATTCTCATATACATATATATTATATATATATTTTCCCTAATGGTTGGGGAAAATGAGTATTAGTTTAAAAGCTTTATTTTGCTATTGATTAAGCTTTTATAAATGCATTTAAGTAGAAGTCACATGATGTTTTCAACATATTTTATTTGCATTTATCATCCATTACCATCCTAAGATACTGACTTTCTACTTTAACATTTTATGATATGCTTTGTGTTCTAGAATTCTTTTAGAAGCTATAATTATAGGGGTTACCTATGTTTAGTAAAAGGTTTTGTATAAAGTTTAAAGTTGTTCAGATACTATGAACAAGCTGTGCATATCCCTTTAGCTTTCAGTCTAGCCAAGTTCCTAGGTCTTTATAGATGTAATTATGAAATGTGTAAGTAATTGTCTCTGCCGAAAATTAAAGAAGACATGAGATCTAATACTTGTACTTAATGACTACTTGTTATGTTCTTTCTCTTTTTTTTTTTTTTGTTTTGTTTTTTAGGTTAGTATGGAATCCTTGAAAGAGCTGGATCAAAGACTGTTTGAAATGTACATTGAATTCAAGGCAGATCCGATAGTTGGGTCGTTAGAACCTGGCATTTATGCAGGATATTTTGATTGGAAAGATTGTCTTGTTCCAGCAGGTAAATATCTGCTTATTAAACTCTGAAATTATTTTAGCAGTGATTGATAGGAGCTAAAATATACTGTACAATTAAAAACTTTTTTCTAGTCTGTGTTTTTAACTTTTGACAAGTTCTTATTAGAAGTTCTTTCTCACAGGCTTTATTCCTAAATAATTTTTCAAATACCCCCAAATTATTAAAGCAGCTTTTATCATTTATAATCTCTTTAATACTTGTTTTTTGTGATTATTTTGCTTCATTGCTTATATATAATAGAATTATAAAAGACATCTTTGAATTTCTTAAGAAAATAGCATTGAGATTGTTTGGGATTTTTTCCAAAGAATCTGGCTACTTCTGTAATAGATGTAATTACAGTTCTGAAAAGGTAAAATTATGAGAAAATGCATACTATAACAGTAGTTCAGCAAAGAATGTTAAACCATCAAAGAAGGGCAGGTATAAGGTATTTAGCATGACTGAGATGTTAGTCATTAGTTAGGTACTTTAAGAGCCTCTGTTTGAAGGAAGCATAATATGAGTCTTTTTTTTCAAGTAGTGAATACTGTGCACATCTTAACATTTAGGTCTTTTTGAACATCTAATTTGTTATATCTAAAACTAATGCATCTAAATCACTTATTACATGAATGCCTGGTTAATACTAAGCAGAAGTTAGTTGCAGTAACATAGTACATGGCATTTTGAAGGTGATCTTGTATTAATTTCCAGTAAATCAATGACTGACGTGACAATTTGTACTTTCTTGTTTTGATTGTTTCATGGAGTTGCATATGGCAAGCTTAGTAGAAATGTTGTGGTACTTCAAAATTTGATAGGGAGGTAATTACAAGAAGCACGCTTGTAATCTGTGAATCAAGAGCTGCAGTGCTTGTTTGCTGGGCCTTAAAAACATAAAGGTTTTAGGGTGTATTACTTAAGAGAAAAGTGTCTCTTCTATCTTTTGTTACTACTTTTTTTCTGAGAATATATGATCTAATAGAGTTTATAGTGGAAATAACTTAGATTTTAATCTTGCACATCCAAGTTTATATCTGAATAATACATAACTTCTCATCATGTTTGAAGTATGGTTTTGCTTGGCATGTTTGCATTCCCACCAGCTAACAAAGACAAAGAGAAAGAAGTTGTGTCAGCTTTTTATATGTTCATTTCTTGATGTAGTGTGTTGGGATCTACTTACTAGACTCATGTTGCTTTTAGGATTGTTCTGTAGTATTTTTTGTTTAAAGGGAATATTGAATTTCTGTTAGAGGCGTGCCTTAGTCTGCTGCTTGTCCAATTTATTGTTGGTTTTATGTACTTTCTCTGCAGCTTTTTGGTAAAAATCAAAGTGAAGGTGGTGAATATTAGAGACTCTTCTGCAGGGTTACATATCAGAGTATTGGCCAAGAGGTGCCGATCTGAAGTAGTGAAAAAGTTGTTTTGGGTTTTTTTTGTTAATTGCCAAGCTAGGCATGTTAAGAAGGAACATACAGTCACTTCTTCCATGCTTCTCTACCTTGATAAACTATCTTTCTGATGGACAAATTTTGTCAAATGTATTCTGACTATTGGTATAAAAGATTAACTTTGAGTACCTTCAGTTTGTCTGCTTATAGCAATGGTTAGTTGACCCTGAAGATATTTGGTGCTCTGAAGATATAATTAGTAAGTGACTGGGAAAGCCTCCCTCTTGGAGGAGGTAGATGAACTTCATTATTGAAAAGGATTTGCGTGGGGGGGAACTCTTCATGGGACATATGAGAATCTGACTTTTTCCAGTATTCAATCAAAAAAAACCCAAACCCACTAGTATTTACAAACAACGTTAAATTGTACAACAAGATTATAGTTGAGAAAATACACTCTTATGTAATCTAAAAGTTGCAGTTAGTACTACAACAGACATATCCTTTAATTTTCCTCTTGGAAAAACCCCAAACAAAGCAAGCTCTACTTTACTGTTCATCTCCAAGTACAGCATGAAAAGTATCTACTTTATTAAACTAAAATGGCATACAGATGACTGGGAGTGGGTCACACTGAGTAAAACAGACAGTTCACTCAAGGATTTGTTAAAGATCAACACATTGATTTGTTGAGGAAAAAACTTATTTATGTAGTAGAAATTTTTATCTGTTCTTCAGTAACCTTTATGACTGCAAAATTTGAAGATTTTATTTGAGTCATGTGCCTGGTTTAGATCTTGACTTTTGTAGCCTTGATTTTAAAAAAGAAGAAAAATTGATGGCATTGGCAAGGCAAAACATTTAGGCCTCACTTGCGTTCCTGAGTGGTCCTATCAGTGATGTGTAGTGGTGCATAATTAAAGTTACTTGATGTTCCTTAGGGGGTACAACTATGCCTGATCACTAAGACGTCATAGTCTGGCCTGAAGTGTTTTTATATGGTATTTCTACATTAGCTTTCAGATAGTACTAATGATAGTAAAAAGGCAAATTTGACAAAAAGTTCTTTGGGTTTTTTTTTGGTTTTTTTTGAAAGGAAAGAAGAGGGCAAAAACATCAATTTGCCCATATTTAAAAAATAAGATAAAAGGCAAATAATTTCTCTGATGCAGTCTGAAACTTTCAAGCATTCCATCTGGCAATTGAAAATTTGACCAGAGTTGGGGGCATGTTGATGCCAGAGAGAGATCTTTTGCAAAGGACATTTTGGAAAAATGTGAGTATGAAAATACTTGGGAATTGGTTAGGAAGAACACAGAGAATGTTCTAATGATGCCTGTGTTGCTAGTGCAGCCAAGAGCTTCAAGACTGTAACTCTTTTGAACAATTGTCCTGGTCAAGCACTAGAAAGTATTCCTTTCTTGATGCTCCCCCTGCTGTTACTGAGCAGAATGAAGAAGCTGGAAGGCTGAGTAGAATGCAGAGAACACCTGATCTGGCCTATCGGAAGATAATGCTTTTGGGTAGGTGGAATTGGGCATGGGGGGGATACCAACGCTGGTAAATAAAGTAACTGCAAGGGAGAGAGCAGACTGGAAAGGAAAGCTTGTGATGAAGACTGGTATCAAGCAAGGAATGAAGGTGGAATGAAGTGGGAAAACAGGACTGGATGAGCAAGGTAGAAATCTAAATTAGGGTAGGATTTAGAGATGGAATTAACGCGGAAATGACTTGAAGGGCACTATACAAACAGGAGACAAACTTGAAGTGCAAATGAAAGGGCAGAGAGGTCTATTACTCACTAGATCAGTGAGTTTACCAGAAGCTGCAGTATAATCGAAGAAATCCCATCAATCTTGCGTTTTTGTCCTCTAGGGATGACAGCCTGTTAATGTTACTGATCACTTTCTTTGCGCAGCTGGCAGAAGTTATGTATATATTACTTATATACTTATAGTAACACTATAGGCAATGCTAACATGCTATATATAGGCAGTACTGCTGAGAAACATGACGATGGCCTAAATGTTTTGCCTTACCAATGCCATCAACGTTGTTTCTTTTTTAGAATCAAGGCTACAAAAGTCAAGGTCTACAACAGCAGCCAAATGACTCAAATCCATATAAATCTGCTGTACGGAAGTTACATGTATGTATTGACAGTTCTGTTGTTGAGCCATATAGACCAATGCAGTAGGAGAATTTTCTGTTTTCCATTTTGGTTTTTTGTTTGCTTTCTTTTCAATGTCAGTAAAAATTATGTATAGGAAAAACTATGCAAGACAATCAAGTATAATCCAATCTTTAAACCACAACGTTTTTTCCCATGTGGAAAAAGTCCCACTTGACTTGCTTCATGAGATGGTGGCTGTTTTGGAGATAAAACTGGGTTTTGTATTAAGTGGAGCTGTTACAGGCAAAAATCTATCCTCAGCTGTTACAGATTTTGAGAAGTAAATGAAGCATAATCTGGGAGGGGACAAAAAGTGGAGGCAGGATTCTGTCCCTGTCTCCTCAGGGTTTTCTGTGTCATGTTAAAAACTCACTTAAGCATTTTTGTCTTTATCTTTAAACTGCCTTCTCTGACACTTGTCAATTTGAACATTCATGTTTAATTTTACTATCTAAAATCTTGTAGTATGTAGAATATTCACAAAAATCTTATTTGAAAACCTTGACAATCTATTTATCATTGCAGTCGTCTGCCTGTAAGTACTGGGGATAATACTCCCTTGCATCATATAATTCATGGGGAAATAGAAGAGAAAGTAGAAGAGTGAGAAGAACTGTGATAAATGAACAGTTCTGAAGAACAAATTAGAATGAAATTAAGCAGCCTGCCTTTTCAGCAAGCTTTGAAAAATACATATTCCTAAAGTTTTGTACCATGTTTCTGTCAGTGTGGAAAAAGCATAAGCCTGGCACGCTTAGGCAGTTGCCCTGTAATTGTCAGATACTTATTTATACATACGGGTTTTGTTACAGTTTTAAATATAAGGAAGGGCAAATTGTTTGCATGGGGCAAATTTTAATTTAGCCTATGTGCGAAAATTTTTACTGTTTAGTTTTTCAACGTACGTGCTCTTTTCAATATGAAAGTTCTGAATGGCAGAAAGAACTTGTGCACAATGTAATTATACGTTTGCCCCTTTATTTTCATCTAAGGTGTGACTGCTGGTGTTAGAAGGCAGTATGATTAACTTAATTAGATTTATTGTTAATAAATAACTTTCATTTAAATTTTCATTTTCATTTCAACGTCAACTTCTGAGTCTTTACAACAAAGACTTCAGTTTTAACATGCAGCAACAATGAAATCAGCTCGTTTCTTTTTTCTTGTTTGAAACATTGTTATAATTTAATCTACAGTATTAACAGAATTAAAAGAGATGAAAGGGATAATGGGAAACATAACATTAATCAGTTGCTGAGTAGGTTTTTAGATTATTTTTTTTTTTATGTATACTGGTCAATCAGCTAGTTCAGTGTACAAGGTATTTTGTTTGTGTTTGTTCTTCTCTCTGTCGGTAGTAGGTTGTGCTTTGTTGGTTTTTTTTTTTATAAATTCTATTTTAAATGCATATATTTTATCATGGTCACCTTACA